TTTGAGGTCTCTTGTCTGCGACGTTTACGAGGTGGTTGCCACGGACGAGGTTACAATGCTATAGATCATCAGAGTCTAGTTGAGCAGCTTCTAGGCAATCATCTAATTTGCCGTAGAGTTCATCAGTTGCAAACAATTCTTGTTACTAGTTAGTGAGATATCTTCATCACTTTGGTATGAGAAATCGGAACAGGGTTCCGTTGAGTCATCATCCTGGCCTAATCCTCAGATAGAGATTTCTCCATCCAAGTGATTGAAATTGATAGAGGAGTTGTCCTCATTGTCAGAGTCTTCTGATTTGCGCTTGGCAACATGGTTGCGAAGTTTGCAAGTGGTGGCACGAGTATCGTCGATCTCGTGTTCTTCGTCATTGTCGACGAGAGGAAGAATGGGTTTGTCACGCAACTGTTTCTCAAAGTTGCGGAACGCATGCTTTCCTTGAGCCATCTTCATGGTGAAGGAATAGGTTGAGGGTAGCTGAAAGCTATTGTGTTTGTTAACAAAATGCACTACGCTAAAAGCTAGTGTAAAGATCTTTCGAGTGTTTTGAGTTTGAGAGAATGAAAGTTATGAGAGAGATTAGAAAGCTATGAAAACTAATCAACGAGAGAGATCATCATCAAGGGATCGTAGATCTGTCTTCCCGCGGGAGACTGTAAAGTGTGATAGAGTAGGTTGTGGTAGTACTCCTACGTCTCTCCACGATCCTAAAACGGAACGCGTGGAAGGTCTGTCTAGCCTGGATCTAGTAGCGTGGGAGTACTCCACGCTGGCTAAATATCTAGAGCGATGTTTCATCATCAACCTAGTATGACTAGCGCGGTCATTGAGAACCCTGTCTCAAATGACTATTCACGAGAGACTCAGTCATGAGTCGAACTCAAACCCTATCTAGGATCGAGTCGCGAATAAGGCTAAGAGCCGTGTATTGCACTACATGCGGCTCCATGGCTGCGGGACCACCTTGCTTGCGTTGGAGATGGCGACAACTCGATCCATCACCTGAAGCTGCTCCAAAGCGCATTCAAGTCAATATTCCCCAGCCAAGTGCATGTGCTACATACTACTCTGCATGTGGAAAGATTGACCAACACAACAGGACAAGGCAACAAGCTGTGGCACTGGAAAGGAAGGTCCAAACCAAGATCTGGGATAGGAGAGTCAATCTCTCCATCTTCAGCATGTGCATTGTTGATGCTTTTGGTTTGGCAAATGGTTGTCAAGGCAATGAGTGGACACCACGCAACTTTGTGGAGGTGCTCTCAGAGCAGCTCATTGACAACACTTTTGAAGAAAGATCTCTCCGTCGTCGTGCTCAAAGATCAGAACAAGCCCATGGCACCCTCTTGCGAGGCCCACCAACCCTTGCATCCTGCTACCATCTCACTTCCACCACTCCTTCAAAGAAAAGGAAGAGAGCCAATGCCAATCACACATTTCAAGGCAAGTGCTTGGAATGTGGCAAGTCGTCTACCACATGCTGCAGGGCCTGTCAGTGGCGCTATCCAGATCCAAAGGATAAACAGTTTTGGATTTGCGAGAGGAATGGCAAGGCATGCATGGGGCGCCACATCCTCAAAGAACATCCTGATCTTAACTCGAAGAAGACAAGCTGAGACTTGCCGCTGTTGGTGGCTTCGAGTTGGCCTGTTGTTGAGTCTTTTGAATGGTACGTTGCTTGTTGTTGTTGTTGTTCTCTGTATACATTGGCGATAGGTATCCGTTTGACTTACTTGCTTCTTGTTCTAAGAAACAGAAAAGTGAGAATTCGCGAATTCGCGTTCAAACCTACATGTCGGTGGTACAGAAAGTAGCCGTTGGAGTTACATAATGCAAAATTGTTTGAATTGTTCTATTTTCCTTCGTGCTTTTTACAGGTCAGTAGTACTATGGCGACTGTGTGACATTATGTAACCATTTTCGGTGGTTACGTAACGTTTTTCGGAGGGAAGATAGACACTAGTCAGGGTTCGCTAACCTGATAGATTTGAGGAATAGGTTACTAACCTATACACTAACCTGGTAGAAAATTGCACTAGGTTAGTGTATAGGTTACTAACCTGATAGAACTTTTGTAGTAGGTTAGTGTATAGGTTAGTGTCAGGTATTTATCAGGTAACCTGTAGGTTACCTGATAAAGTAACCTGGTATTGTCATAGTAAGTTACCTGTTACTGTATATAAGGTGTTTTGCCTTGTTAGTTAGTTAGATGATAGTTGATAGGGTGGTTAGGCATCAGAGATAGTCACCCATGACGACTCGTAGTGCCACCCAAGGGTTAGTCAACTGCAGAATGCGAGGGTGGCTAGGTAACAGAGATAGTTACCCTTGACAACTGCAGATTGAGAGGGTGGTTGGATAACAGAGATAGTTACCCTTGACAACTGGAAGGCGTGGGTCTTCAGTGGTAGTGCCACCCAAGGGTTAATCTACTGCGGAATGAGGAAAATGGCCCCAAAAACGGTGAAAAGTAACCTGATAGAAAACCTGGTAAGTAACCGGTACACTAACCTGATACAAGATCGTATTAGGTTAGTGTATCGGTTACTAACCTGATAGAATTTTTTTAACAGGTTAGTGTAAAGGTTACTTTATCAGGTTCCGGTTACCGGTTCTTTTGGAAGTAACCGGTAACCTAATATATCAGGTTAGCGAACCCTGCTTCTAGTAGACGATTCTACACTGTATGCCCATGGACCAGCTGTTCCGAGGCAGATCTGTTCCATGCAGGTTGGAAAGCTAGAAAGACGTCATAGACCGCACAATGGAACGATTGAATCGAATCTTCATTTGCTCAAGTTATAATGCACTATCATATGGCTATCAGCAGGTCATGGCAATAGCAAGGTAGCTAGGAGTCCGTGATGTGGGTTGCATGATGCTAGATTACAAAAAGTACTACGAGGTTCCTTGAAGGGTAATGACAATCGGTCGAGTGTGTCCACCACCCCAACCACCTGTATCTGGATGCTCATTCAAGTAAATGCGGGGCCTTGCAAAGTTCCTAGAGCTCACCATCCACTTTTGATCTACAATTCATACCGACCAACAGAGGGAGTACCGTACCAGCGTACCAGGTTCGAGGTCAGTCTGTATTCAAATCATAGTGTAAAAGACTTTCAAAACCACCATTGTCGGCCTGTTGGACTAACAAGAGTCAAGACAGGGTGTGAGATTCAAGTGCCAGAAATCACTGCAGCAAACGAGCCAACGACCATCGCATGCCATATCCTCCAAAGACCGACAACATGACAATTCCAGTTTGGTTCCTTAGATGCCATCAGGATCTTGAACAAAGACCGGAGGTCGTAAATGCACCGGCAAAGGGGATTGGTAATCGAAGAACGTATGTACCATCAGAGTCCGGAGTGGTATGCTTTCTCCACACCGTGCATTGCATCGGATCAGAGTCGGAATCGCACAATCTTCACTGGTACAAGTCGCTACATCTTCTTTCCAACGTGATCTCACCAGGTGCACGATTTAGCTCTCACACAATGCCATCATCAGTCTGTTGGACAAGTAAGTGAGAACAATGGCCAGGTAGATGTGAGATGGACGGATGCATGCATGGAGAATCAAAAGCCATAAAACAAACACAAAATCGACACCCAAGACACACTCAGTAATCATTTTGTACTTGTTTCCTCACATACAGTCAGGTCTAAGGCTAAATAAAAGGTCTTCATCTGTGTCAGCGTTGCGCGGCATGTACCGGTATGTACCATCAGAGTGTGTAACAACTTTGTATCTTCATTACCAATGCATCGCGTTGGATCAGCTAATGAGATAGATTCGAGTCTTCATCAGTACATATCACGGTTCCAAACACAGCTATCTTCGTTAGTCCCTGTGCATCCGGTACCAACGTGGGCTCACGCGTTTGCTTACCGTACGACTTCATCTGGGTAGCTAGGACCCTTGGCATCTTGCTCTTCATATTGTCATGGTGTTGATGGAGCTGTCAAGCAAGAAGTGAGATGACGCTGGCAGTGGTATTGATGGTCCTCGTTTATCTCGATTTTGACGGAAGGCGATCCTTCATCCGGACGGAGGCCAGTAGGCTGACACAAAACAATGATGATGTGATCGTCGCTTTAAAATTCGTCCTGTTCCTTCGACATGGAGCGGAGATTGGCTTGCTTGTGCGGAAAGTACTACGAAGCTAATTACCTGTGGCTAGTACACGACCCCTTGGGCTCACGAGCACAAAGCAAGGCCAGGGCGTGAAATTCACGTTCCAGATGGGACCCAAGACACAAAACTTCCAAAGCAATGCGGCGCAGCCAGCAACGAAGTCAAGCAAAACGCTACGACCCTCTCAGGTTGGAATAATCAGCAACTCCTGTGTAGTGTGTAGTTTGGTTCGTCACCTGGAAGTCAGGTCTTGAACGAGTCTGGAGGTCCCTCCTGAATGTCTGGTGTGCAGCAAGCAAGTTGGTAGAACCAGGTATTGTACCGTCAGATAGAGTGATCAATGTTCTCTTCAATGCATTGCATTGCATTGCATTGCATTGCATTGCATTGCATTGCATTGCATTGCATTGCATTGCATTGCATCCCGATGAGGTGTAGAAGTACAGCTTCATTCTTCACTAGTACAACTTGCTTGGGTGGGGCCAGCATCAAAGGTCAAGCTCAAATCAACCATTTGCATCTACCGGTACAGACCTACAGATAATCAATGTAATCATCCTCGATCTGCCTCCAGTAGCGCTCATGCTCTTCTTTCGCTTCGAGCTCATTCTCTTCTGCCGGTTCAGAATCCTACAAAAGTGAGGCTATCCAAGCCCATCCCCGCTTGATTTGGCGGAAGCAAACGGAGACAGATCTATGCATATTGGCAAGACGTCAGAGACGGACCAATGGAACAATTGAATCTATTTTTTCATTTGCACAAGTTATTGTATACTATCCTATGGCTATCAGCTTGGTCCTGGCAACAGCAGGTAGCGATGAGTCCGTGATGTGGGTTGCATGATGCGAAATTACTACTCCAACTATGAGGTTCCTTGAAGGGTAATGACAATTCGTCGAGTGTGTCCACCACCCCAACCACCCGTATCTCGATGCTCATTCAAATAGATGCCTTGCCAAGTTCCCAGAGCTAACCTTCCATTTTTGATCTACGTTCCACAATTCATACGGACAACAGAGAAAGTACAGTACTTGAGAATCCGACCGTTCCTGTATGTCCAAGTCTGACTCGTCACTCGACTCATTGCATACGCACCGGGATGTTCAGGCTTGGTCCCATCAGCGATGATTTGACGTGACCAGGCATGTCATCGTCGCCTGTTCAAATATCCCAACAGAATATGCAATTGCAAGTTAAGAACATGCGCACCAAACAGGAACTACAGGTAGGACTGAATCATTCAATGGAAGAACTCCGTACCTTCCATTGTGTGGCGAAAGGTTCCATCTCGGCACCAAGAGGCAGGGACTGACCAAACAAAGATTGCAAATAAATAAGCAATGAAAGGTAAGCAGAGAGGGACGATAACTCAGGGAGCATTGGCATTCAGCAAAAGCCACGGCGTACCAAGCTTGTTCAGTGCAACTTCCATATCTCTGAGAGGTTGGATGGACAGATGGAACCAATGACAACAGTTAGAAAGAGCTATTGACAGCCTTTCTTCCAATGCTCCTTTGGGGTTGGGCCACGTACCGTCTCACATCCGGGTCGGCGTTTTCGTTAATGGTCAAACTGGCCGAGGTATGCTGAATGAACAAATTGCACATGCCAATCTTGATCTGCGAGAGATCGCTGGAGATGGCTTTATGAACATCCCCAGTCACCAAATGGCAGCCTCGTGACGGAGCCGTGATGCTGATTTCATGTTGAAACCACATGGGGATCTTTGGCGGCATGGTGGTGGCGTCGTTCGAAGAGGAACTGCTGCTGGTACTACTGCCAAGTGACGAACACGAGTCTGAGGAGGATGCACCGGGATTCACAGTAAAAGCAACCGTGACATTCAAGACCAGGAACAAAAGGCTCAAGCAGCGGGACGTGGCGACAAGCTTGGAAACTATCGTCTTCATTGCCCCTATTCTATTCTCTCTGCTTCACTTCAGCGGAATTGGATTGGTTCTGCTGTTGTGTTTTGGATCTTGGATCTTTCCTTGGATCAATGCGCTCACCTTAGGTTTAAGATACTCATTGATGATGACTACCTGCACGTAGAGATCTTCCGTGGGAGAATGCTTCCACCTTAGGTTTTAGATACACTATAAAAATACCAGAAGTTGCCACCGGGACTATACGTCTTCCTTTCATCCTGCTGCAGAGCGGCCAAGATGCTCAACTCCATGTACAGTCGACGTCAAACTGTCGGGCAATTGCGTGATTGAGCTCTTCAGTACGAGCACATGGGACTAACCGAGAGCAAAATAAACCATATTATTTCCAGCTCGAGACTCGAAGTGGGCTTGTGGAAATCGTTGTCCATGGGATGCAGGGACATGTTCCCTTGCTTCTGAAGGTGGCCATTTGGAAATTCTGATTTGGTTAAGAGAGAATGGATGTCCATGGGATCATTGGACATGTGCCTATGCTGCTCAAAATGGCCATTTGGAAATTTTGAAGTGGGCTCGTGCAAATGGTTGTCCCTGGGATCAACATACAACTGGGAATGCTGCCCATAATGGCCATTTGGAATTGTAAAGTGGGCTCGTGAAAATTGATGTCCATGGAATCGATTCACATTTCGAAATACCTTCGTATAACCGCAGTGAAGTGGTCCAGTGGCTACGTGTGTATGACCTTGGGGATGCCTCATTTTGAAATTAAAAGAATAGCAATCATGTGTTTGGATTTATTGTAGTGACTATTCTATGGGGTTGGCTTGGTAGAGATGATTATGTGGCTGGGTGAAAAGACTCGAGGTTGGGGGCAACAATATTTTCACAGTTTAGGTAGGATGGGTTAGAGGAGGGATGGGTTACAGGGGACTACATGTATGATGGGAAAGGTGTCGTCAGTCGTTGGCAGAGTTGGTGTGTGCACGCAGAGAGATGAAAACCAATGAGCAGGCCAACAGAACAAGATTTCAGGCAATGGAGGACAAAGAAAGCCATGCAAACAGCGCCTGTGGAGGGAGAGGGCAGGGACAGACTAGCTAGTGGTAAAGGTCAAGAGCCCCACAATCAGCCCAGTGCCGGGAGCTCATCATAGTGGCAGGAACACGAGCACATCGTAGCTGCACAAGCAAGGGCAGTGCTCGGTCGGGCGCAACTGAGTGAAGTGCAGTCGTAGGTCAGAGGAAGGGCAAGAATTCAGTTTCCTCGGTGAACTCCAGCAGGTCGAGGAAGCTCGTGTGCCATAGCTGCGCTGGTCTAAACGTCAAAGTAGCTACATGTATGGTACCGTACGTATACAGGCACAGTACTGTTGCCCTCTTGTTTCGCACAGCACAGGAAATTCCGGTGCAGTAACTAGCAACAACTATTCTATGCATCGGTATTTTTAACTACGAGTAGCTAGTAGCTGATTAGTGGCTTCATTCGTTGGTACCAATCTACAAGAGCTGTCTGCTCCCTCCCTTGCATAACTTCGTCGTGCGTGGGAAGCCCTTCAATCGAACGAAGGGTGCCAAACACGGCCACATCACCTAAGTTAGGCTTGTCCTTTCCTGATAGAAATTGTTTTCCTTCTCCCAATCCCTCTTCTTCCAGCTGAACAAGAGCGTCGTTCAAAGCTTGTCGCTCATCCGTGATGTTTCGTTTCTCTGAAAAATGACAGGAAAGGCAGAGAGTTGGATCATGCGCACCAGCAAGTAACAGTGGAAGAAGTCCATCATTCACGTACGTTTGATCTTGGAGGCAGCGTAGTACATGGCCAAGCTGCCCACATTTTGAATGGCAAACTTTTGAAAGGATGAGAACGACTCAACATCCTTGACATACGAAAAGGCCTCGTAAGAATCACTCCATGTGCGGCAAATGTTGGGATACAAAAGGCTAGCAAGATCATCCCGTGCAAACTGCTCCCACTTTTTGGAGCCTTCAGACTCGGCAAAGGTTACGGTTGTCATTGTCGCATCTAGTTTCTCTTGCAAGCTCGACGCAATAAATGGATGGTTGATAAGTTTGCTCACAATTTCATCTGACCCATTCACTTGTTCACCATCTACCATGGCAATTGGCACCTTCTTATATTCTGACCTAGAGACGTTCGTTGAGACCAAAAGAGTGCGTTAGTACCTCAATGACAAACAACCACCACCTGTCTGCTTTCTCGGCCTACCACTTGGAAATCTCTGCTTTAGTGAGAGGATTCACTTCCACGGCCTTGTATTTCAGATCTGCAAATGACATAAACGATTTTGTGATATTGCAAAATGGACAAATTGCATACTGCGTAGCGTACACAGGAAGAACCGTGAGGAAAGCTTCGATCCGTGGATACCATGCTACCAGACTTCAGACTTCGCTGCACTAACCTGGTAGAGTGTCACCTCTGGAGCGCCTTTGGTGGACAAACATCGTATCCTGGTGGAAGCGACGGCCGCAGAAGTGTACCGGGGCCCTGAGGCAAGATGATGAAGAGCCGATTGGAGGACCATGGTGCTGCTGAGATGGTCTCAAGGTTGGGACAAAAAGCCGAAAGCGAAGAGGGGTCGGGAATGGTTGGCGACTGAGTCAGTCTTATCCAACGGGGAAATGTGCGGCTAATGAGACAGGTCACAAAATCTGCCCGGTCTCAAAAGCTAAAAGGACCTTGGACAAAACACTGCAAGGGAGTAAAATGCGGAAGGGAACTTCGATTGCAGCAGTACGATGTATCTACATTAGTTTAGAGCTGTCTTATGTTGCAATGCCCTGCGATATGTACTGGAAGTAATCATATTGCTTCGTGCCGTAGGACGATGTTGATTGCTGAATCAAATCCAGAGCAAACGCAATGGCTTTCTCTGTGTCAAGATCCGGTTGAAAGCGATCTCTTAACTTCTCGACGATATCTTCTGAATCTTTGCCTTCAAAGCATGGAAACGTGCTCTCTTTGCTGGTGATCTCAACAAGTGCCATGAATGTCTCATAGTGAGTTCGAAGTGCAAGGAAGCCACAGCAGAACAAGATAACAAACTCAGAAAACAGCGGGGACTCCATGCCTCCCATGACTTCCAGCATTTCCTCTGTCATCTTGAATGGCGTCGACATTTCCAAGCTGAAAGATCCACCTGGAGCAATGCCAAACACAAAACCAAAGTCAATGTGAATGATATGACCTGCAGTATCCAGTAAGATATTGCCATTGTGTCTATCTTTGAAGAGGAATAGGTAGGACATCAGCGAGTAGGCGGCAAGACTGCGAACAAAGTTTCGTTGTGCCGCCTTGAAGGCGTTGGCTGGATCAGGCATGAACTCTGTCATTCGCATCATGTGTTCTCTCAAACCTCCTTTGCCGTAACCAGGCCTTTTCTTCAAAGCATCCAACGACATGGCATTGCGGACCATTTCCAGAATACCCGTGGTACGACCGGTGGAAAGAATTCGATAGGGATGGACCCACAGTTCAAGATTTGCAACTTGGAAGGCTTCCTGGCACAGTTCAATGAGCTGCATAACAAACGTTTCTTGTCGCAAATCGTCGTTTGACTTGACAATGACACCCACAAGATCCCACCCCGCCCTCTTTCCATGAGGGCTAGACAGCGCTATTCTTGCTTTCTTCTCAGCCCATCGCTCACCAAACGCAAAGCGCCCCCAAAACGCAGAATCTTCCATCAACTTGTCGACTACTTCTGGGTCCTGCGACATGATGCGTCGTCCGTGCTTCAAATCTTTCGAAACCAGTTCCAGAAGCTCCCCATTAGTCACCATACCTGCCTTCCAGAGTGTCAAAGCCTGCAAAACAGCTGAGGGGAGGTCGCCACATCCGACTAACCGTGGATCGACGTCACCGGCATCCACCTTTGGCATATCTTTGTCGTGTTTGAATTCGGCAGAACCGCCGCTGTCCTCCGATTTGGCCTTTTGAATTGAAGCGTGTTGTAAGACCTTCGCCGCGGCCACAGGGCTCAAGCCTCCCTGCGCGACACGGTTCTGTATTAACATTAAACGAATAGACTCCAAGGCTTCGTCTTCTTCTGTCATTGCACTCCACTTGTCATCACCCAACCCATCGTCGCTCAGGTTTTCGATGCCTAATGCTTCCAATTTTTTCTTCTTCTTCTCAGTCTCCACATAAGAACCATCAGGTTGTTGCCCATTGTTCTCTGTGCCGGCCTCGCTGTCAAGCAACAAAAGTTCAACAGCCCGCTTGTGCTCCAGCTCCTGCAGACTCTGCATCACCCCGCCTTTGGTTCCTGCAGCAATGGAGTTACCCCCCTGCACTCCCTTTAGAAAAATGGCATTGAGAACTTCACGGCGCACGTCTCCTGTTGGTGCAAAGCTGTTTGACGCATCACCCGTATTGTCGCAGGCTATCGCTGCCATTTTCTTGGAACCTCGCTTGGCCGGGTCCATTCCATCATCCGACAGAATACTTTGACTCGATTTGCTTCTCGGAATGTCGCCATCCCCGCACGATTTGTCGGCTTGTTCTGTTTGTTTTTCCTCGTCAGCATCTTTACAATCCTCGGCCATGCTTTCTTGTTCGGTTCCTTCGTTTGTTTCCAAATCGGGTAATCGGAGCTGTTTCACCATGGCATGTGTTACTATCTCTTCTACAGTTTCCATGCTTGGAGTCTGCGGAGTTTCCTTCTTCGATTCATTTATTGGATTGTCGAATCGCTTTAATGCATCTGTGGCATTTTCTTTGTCAGAAAACATTTGATTTGGAGCAAGCGACAAAAACAGCGCAGGAGAAACTTACGAGGTGCATTATGGTTTGCAAACGAATCGTCCAATGATCCTTCGAGTGGTAGCGATATCTCCTTTGACGGAGACGAGTACTTGGCTCCAGACCTCGTGCGTGCTCGAACATGTTTTGGAGAATACATGCCGTCCTCGTCACGAGACAGATCAAAACTGCTGGAATTATTCAGCCTTTCCTCCGAAGGGTCTTCATACACACTACCTTCATCTGACTGTGCGTCCACAAAATGATCACTGTCATCATTGTCGTCGTTTTCAGCTGGTTCCACAGGATTTTCTTTTTCAGCCTTGGTTTCTGGCTTGATTTCCTCCTTTTCCTGGCCGGCCTTTGGTTCCTTCGTTTCACTGTCTCCCTTCGTTTGGGCGGCCTCTGCTTCCCTTTCCTTCTTCAGTTGCGTTTGTTGCTGCTCTTCGTCATCCTCGACGGTATCGTCAAAAACCTCCATTAAAAGAAGCACTGGCGTACGTTCTTTGCTACGAAACACATGTCCCTCCTTGGTGGGGACGCCAACAACGCGCAGATGATGTTCCATGATTCGATTCAGCGGGTCTCCTCCCATGGTCCCAGAAGCATTTAACAGTCCTAGTTCCCTTTCCAGTGCAGGTGTTCGATCTTTGATATCCAGCGAAAACATTTTTTCGGCAATATCACACATCCGACGTGAAAAATTCAAATGACTCGAAAAGTAGTCGGCATTCCGGGCAATCCGCATGGCTTCTTGGACAGCCTCGTCGGGATCCTTTTCAAATTTGTCGTGGGCCAACACCTCCATCCTCACGGACCGTGTCAAGAACTGCGGCACTTCCTTTCGTAGATCATGAATGCCTCCCATGTACAATTTGATCAATGCATCCTGATGAGCACTGGGTGTGAATAACTTTCCCAGCGCCACCGATCCACCACCCCATCCATTGGGCAAACCCAACAGCAAGGACTCTAATTCACAAACAAACCTCAAGACGGCATATCTCCGCCTCCGGCAGGTTGGACCACACGTGGCCGTATTGATGAGTGATTCTTCCAAATCAGCCGTATGAGACCAAATCAGATCGAGTGCCAAATGGATGGAATACCGCGTGGACACTGTGAGCAAAAAGTCCTCGAGCAGTTCCACCCTTAGCAATTGGGCAATGTTATCGCTAGGCAACATGCGTAGATGTATATGACAGAGCTGTGGCCAAAAGGCGGCGACACTGGCCAATTCTCCACCTTCGCACAAATCGAGTAGGAATTCCAACAAGCAAATGAACATGTCCAAGTTGGAGTGTTGTTGCATTTGCTGCTGATGTGCATTCCGAGGCAATGCCAGATCGTGTAACAACTTCATGGCAGTTCCCATATCCCCCGCCACTCGAAATGCTTGTTTTTTCATTTCTTGTTGATTGGAGTGGATGCTTGTGGTTCCCATGACGTTATCAATTTGTTCCAACATGTCTGGTACCCCAATAATGCCCTGTTGGATTTGCTCACAGCAATTTTCCAAGGTAAGCGAGACACGCTGTAGTGATAGGAATTCCGCCGACGAGGTGATCAATTTCATGACGGCTTTGGTAGATTCTGGGGTTGGAGAGAGATGAATCCATGCTTGTGCCTGGAGGGGATCATCTACGACGCTCCATGACGATGAATCCTTGGAGGATCCATTGGAAGATGACGACGACGATCCTGCTGTTTCTTGCGTAGCTTCCCCAGTAGTAGTCGTGGTGGTGTTGGTAGAAGTTGTCGTCGTCGTGAGAGATGTATTGGATTCTTCATTGGCAGCGGCAGTTGCTGCTGCTCCGACTTGACTCTCTAGAGCCGGATTGGCCAGTTTCATGGCTTGAAAACAGAGCTGTTTGGCGAGTGTGATAGCTTTTCGTTCTTGTTGCGCACTGGCAAATAGCTCTCGTAAGAAACAGACATGGTTCAAGAGTCCCTGCGCAATCAAGCAATTTTTACAGAGATCGCATCTATTTTCCTTTCCGTAATGAGTGACGGGCACGCATTTGGCAAAAATGGGAGATTTGTTGGGATCGTCGACGACGCCACACGAGAAGCAGTGCTTTTTGATGCGAGGCCTCAATCGTCCCGTTTTGGCAGGAGGCGGTGGCTGAAGAGGTTGTTGTTTGGGCATTCCTGCCTCTAGCAGACTCCGGTCCAAGCCAGCATGAAGAGCACCCAACCACAAATCGCGACATGTCGACGTGGGAGCGGCGCAGTACAAGTGAGTCCCTTGCTCCGTCACCAATCGAAACCCCGTCGAAGAATCACCGCCCTTGCCGCCACTGGGATTCCAAGCAGATGCTCCCACGATATGGACCATGGTCAGCGGATGATCGCCTCGACGGTACGCTACGACACTCTCGTAGTTGCTCAAGTTGGCGCCCACCAAGACACAGTAATTCAATGACTTGCTGCTAGTGTCGCCGCCAGAAGTCGATCGTCGGGCCAGTAACGGCTTTTCCTGGCACCATAAGGATCCTCGGCAGACACCACGGTCTCGTTTGGCTCGTTCCGCGGACATCCTCGTCTATTGTATCTACTAAAGGTAGCAATGGATCGATTGAGGTTGGTAGAAGTCTAGCTAGGCACGCAAAGCTCAGTTTAGGGCTCACTCTGTCTCTGCTGCTTGCCAAGCAACACCAGGCCCCCGTCTCCACAAACTAAACTAAAATGACCTGTTGTTTCTTGTTTCGATCGCTGATGATGTTGTTGTCTCGATGATTTGGACATGGAGGCAAACCCATAAAAGACTTGTCCTCTTGGCATAATAAAACCACGAGCTACCACGTGCGTCTTGAAATTTTGGAATGGGACTGCTCGAGCCGTTGAACACTCATTTCACAGCTCTACTGGCATCTTTAATTACATCCCGTCATCTTCCTTTAGTTTGGTTGTCATTGACTGCAGCTCAATGAGCCCTTGGCTCTGTGATCACTTGTAATACAGAGGACGGTACTGTACTGTCTGCCTTCCAATAAACAGCAACGAGTCACTCAAAATCATCTTATAAACTACTGTTAGTCTGTCTACAGTACAGTACAACTCAATACCAAAATTGCTCTTGCATCGAGCACCCTCCATTTCAACAAGGTGTCATTGTTTATTGCCATGCATCTCCAAAGTCTTCAGATTCTTCATCGTCTTCTGCTGCATTGAAACTCTTCATCAAGCTGGTCTTGGTTGCAATTATGTCACTTTCGGTTTCCTCCTTGTTATTATTGGATTGCTCGGCAGCATTCTTCTTTGTCTTTTCTTGCTTCATTCTACTACCACCGTACGCCTCGCCATCGTACCGGGCTTCCGGATTCCCAAAGAAGTCACGCTTGGTCTGATACTCCAAATGCGACAAGGCTTCTTGCGCTTTCTGAATGGCTTCATGCACCCAGACTGCTCGTTGGGGATTCGCAGGACCAGTTTCGGCAAAGGGGGGAAACGAAGTCGACGAAATCAGTTTGGGCAATCCCCGAGTGGCCCATTCCCGTGCCTTGTCGCGGTCTCCCAATCGCATGGCAACTTCTACAATAATCTCCAATGTCCCCACATGCCACGGCTTGAATTTCAACACTGCCAGACAGAGTTGGTAGGACTCCTGGAAACGACCTTGCGTAAAGTACACGGACGCCAATCGATTCAATGGTTCCACCCAGTGGTACACGCCAAACTCGTCAATCAATCGAAGCAGCATTTGTTCGCTGGCAATCACTTGTCCCGCCGTCAAGAATTCTTCGGCTTGTTCCAAACGCTCCAATGCCTCTAGGCCCTTTTCGGCGGCCCAGAGATCCAACAGTTCCCGCGTAGCATCGTCGCAAGATGCCAATTGTTCCAGGAGTTTTAGCTCCATCATGCGACGATCTCGTTCGGCAGACGTCAAGGGGGGAGGCGGAGGCAGCATGCTTTCCAGTTTGTCGTTATTGGCTGGATTGGTCAAGAGGGCAATCAATTTTTTGACGGGAATGGCTTTGTCGTTGTTGTTGTCATTATTGTTGTCAGTGCCGCTCTTATTAGCTGAGTCGCTCTCGGAAAAGATTCCTTCCAGCTGCTTGCGAGCTCGTTCCACATCATCAAACGAATCTCCGCCGTTGTTGTAGCCTTGGCTTTCATAGAATAGACTAGTGCTGCCGGATGGTCTCTGGCGTGGCTTGGCCAAAAATGCATTCGTCGTAAAGGAATGGGGATGGCCCAGCATTGCCACTAAAACGAAAAAAGCAGAAGAAGAACGCATGGTGTTTGGCGTTCACAGTACAGCAGATAACGACAATAAACCAAGAAGAAGAATGGAATTTTATAGGACCGACCACGCTGGACTCATTTTAGATTTGAGAATTGCCAAGCATAGGTATCAGCAGAACAAGTTTTGTCAGCAATCAGGATCCATGTCGACACAGCAACACCTGTGTCATTGTTCTGATGATGAGAAAGATCCAAGGGAACGACGTCTCGAAAGAGTTCGGCCATGACGTGGCAACTCGAGCAAAAATTCTCGTGACTGCAGTCAGTCGTGATATCTTTAGCTCCATCCCTAAGACCGAATCTTTGTCGAAGATACCAAAGCCACCGTTCAGGATCTCTGGTGCTCCCGCTATCCGACCTCGGAACGAAGCCTTCATTGCTGCTATCCGAGATGCAAGCCTCTTCGCAGTACAACTGTACGGGAATATGGTACCTTCGAATGGATATCAATGACCACAAGGGATGTGAAACCCAGTAAATACGAGAGACAACTGTAGTTGCCGACCTGGTTGGATTTTTACACGGCCGCACCTGGACCATTTTTCTCTCACAATTTCAAATCGATCCCAGCAGCGATCGAGTTGATTAGACACAAAACGCAACGATCCCACTCCTCGGTTAGTTAGTTAGCTAGCTATCATTAGTGTGGTACAGGTAAGGCACAGATTGGTGATGTGTTGTCCCGCCCCGCCGATTTGACAGGGTGGTTCCCTGAGCGAGCAAAACTCACGCGTGTTCATGTCGACAGGTTACAGTTGCAAGCAGTAGCAGTGTTGTTTGATAAAGAGTAACAAGATGAAGTTCTCGTTATCCTTTACAGTCATGGCCTCGATGGCCGTGGCCGCTTTTGCCGAGGGAGATGTTTGTCACGATTCCTGGTCGTACGATACTACATTGGGCCAGTGCTCTGCGACTCTTGGTTACGATCCATGGGGATGGACCAACGGCCGATACGGAATGTCTGGATGTACCGACTGTGATTGTCCCGATTGCCCCACGGAGGCTCCAACGCCTAATATGCCGCCCACTCCCATCACCCCCGCTCCAACGCCTCCTCCCGTGCCCCTCCCGCAAACTTGCATCGGCTTTGCTGGTTCGGCTTCGGGTGATCCTCACATCAGGACCCTGGACAGGTAAGTTTCGTGTCGTGTCGCTGCACTGATTTTTCAGGCAGGCAACGCACTCATCATTCGAGTGTCTTTCGTTGCTTTTCTGTTCCAGGCTTACTTATGATTGCCAAGGTGAAGGAGAGTTCCATCTTTTGAAGTCCATGACTTCAGGATTTGAAGTCCAAGCTCGATTCACGCGATTTACTCCCGACTCTCGTCCCACCAAGACCGCGGCCGTTGCCTGGAACACTGGAGATGGTGAACCCAAGATGCAAGTCAATGCACCTGACGTCCCTGACGAAGCAGGCACCTGTATGCCGACAGTCTACGTTGAGAACGTCTTGAAAGATGTCATGACGGAAGGTGTTGGCAATGCCTACGTCCAAGTGGCAAGATGGGTCAGGCCAAAGAGTGTCAAGTACGTGTTCTACTACCATAACTCTGGCTTCCAGGTCACTGTCCAGTCAAAGAAGACTTCCCAGTTTGGCTGCGTGCTGAGCGTCAAAGTTTGTCTCCCTTATGACTGGGAACGTACGAACGAGGCTCTCGTCGGTTTGTTGGGATCGCCTGATAACGATTCAAGCAATGATTGGATGAACAGGCAGAACGTCCCCCAAACCATCCCGGAGAACAGGAGAGAACGCCTGGGCGAAATTGCCTACGACTATTGTGTTGACAACTGGTGCATCCGCAAGGCAGACGACTCACTCTTCCATTATGGCTCTGGTGAGAGCTACAATGGATACAATCATTGTGCTCTTGGCAATGACCCAGACACTCAGCATTGCATCGATGACCCACCCAAAGAAGTGGAAGAAGTCTGTGGTAACGATGATTATGAATGTATCGTAGATGGATGCGCTGGTGGAGAGGAAGAAGCTAAGAACTGGTTGATCACCGACACAGAGGGTCTGGAAGGAGAATGTGGACGGGAGGTCTTCTTTGAGGACTTTGACACTCCTTATGCCACATCATGGGGCGAGATTGCAAAAGGTAAGCCGGCGCGAAGACAACAGAAGACGTGTCCTCGTGTCAGCGTTCTGATCGTTTCCTTGTTCTCGCAGGCGACCTTGACACCAGCTTCCTCAGACTTCACAAGGACACCCCGAAGTTCATCAAACAGTTTACCGTACCCAAAACTGCTGACATGGTTCGAGTTGGTGAGTCCGTACACAAGCAACGATATGGCTGGGCAGAACAAACTATCACGCATACCTGCTAACAAATCCTTTCGTTTTCCAGATTTCCTCTTCTACGAGATTGGACATTGGGAAGGTGGCGTTGCCGACAGGGACTGGGTGCACTTCTTCGTGTGGGACACTCCTATTGATCTTCGCACCTTTGACTCTAAGGTCACTGAGGGCAACGTCATGGAATCTTTTGAAGGTTTCACCCGAGGGCTGAACTGGAAACGCATGGCCGTCACCAATGCGACGGACATGGGCTTTGGTTCCAACAAGGATCAGATGCACAAGGTTACGGTGAACATCCCCAGGGCGTACTATGCAGATGGCCAGCTACGAATTGGATTCCTCGTCAGCATGTCGCACAGCAAGAATGATGAAAGTGCAGGAATTGACGATTTCCAGCTTTCAGCATTGGGTATCGAGTGTGATCTTGAGTTTGACCCAGTTCCAGCCAGGGATGTTAACATTGATCCCGTGGAGCTGCCTGTAGCCTGTGAAGAGCGCGTAGCAGTCGTTTGGGGTGATCCGCACATCCAGACGTTTGATGGAATGGAGTATGACTGTCAAGGAGAGGGAGAGTTTGTCCTCGCCCAGTCGGAGGACAAGAAGATGGAAATTCAAGGGCGGTTGCAAAGGTTCACAAACAACAAGCAAGTCAGTGTGTTGAAATCAATGGCAGTGAAGGAGGTAAATGCATCCATAGTTGAAGTTGGACTTGGAGCCTACTCGAATGGAAAATGTGATCTCGACCTGTTTGTCAATGGCAAGCAAATTGACCCCAATTCAGGATACTTCTTTGAACATGTGGTCGTTTCGAACCTCGAGGGCCAGGCGATCGTCATGTACTACCCTTTCACGGGCCTTCAGGTGGTTGCGGAATTCCACTACTCCAAAAGTTTTGGCTGCTATTTGTCGACCAAGATTTGTGTACCAGACAGCTACCGTTATGGGCAGAAAATCATCGGATTGCTTGGCTCTAACGACGGAGACCCGAGCAACGATTGGATGAGGCCGAACGGCAACACGGTCCCGATTGTTGGCTCCATGCGATTCAGTGCTGCATACAACTACTGTACGAGCAACTGGTGCATCACAGATTTTGATGACAGTCTCTTCACGCATGATAATGAGGCCTCTTTCAACAGTGTCAGCAAGTGCGACCAGGTGTACACTGGCGGCGAACACGAGGCGTGTGTCAATAGCCCATCAACCACACTAGCGGAAATCTGCGGTGACGACGAGTCCTGTATCGTTGATGGTTGCGCAGGCGATGATGACGATGGTATGGCTGCAATCGACGACAAGTCTGGTATTGTGAACGAGAGAGGTTGTGGTATTGGGCTGTTGGATATTGACTTCCAGGATGGCTCGTATCAGTATGGTTTGGTTGCACACGATCCTTCAAGTGGGCAAGGTTATCGTCTCTTCTACCAACAATACGTGCAGTTTGCATTCACCCTGGGCTCCATCCCTCCAGTTTCCGATAGAATCCGAATTGAATTCCTCGTGTACAGTACAACAGACTACAAACACATCTGCATGGACTACGGACAATTCTGCGAACATAATAAAATCCTCGTTGCTTTTGGCACAGCGAACGCACAAACATTCCTGGAGCTTGACATGTTCGGAATGCCGAACCTGAAAATGCGCGAATACAAACAAGGAGTGAGGCTCCGCCGTCAGGCGTTGAGTGAAGTCATTCATCGAATCGAGCTTCAGATCCCCAAGAAATTCTTCGATGGAGATCTCTTTGCTTTCGACATGAGAACCATCTTCGGTCACCCTACATTCAGCCTTGGAATGGATGACTTCAAGCTGAAAGCGTACTCAGACAAGTGCAAGCAGATGAGGACGTTCTACTACTACAATTACGGCGCCGGTGCTGCCACCAGACGTCTTGAGGGTCTGCGAATCACTTCAAATGATCCTCCCGCCACCATGACAATGGCAACACCAGTATCACGAAGGCTCGACAAGAACTATGTTCTCGAGGATCATCCTGTGTCGCGTGACCTAAGAGGCTCATTCAATGTGAATGTGCAAACCGACGAATGCCAGTGTATTTGTCCTTCCGTATCTGGTTCTAATGATCCTTCAACTGCTCCCGTCACAATGAATCTGTACATTGGAGCTAACGATGTTGACTGCCTACCACAGGGTGACGCAATTGGCACTGTCACGATGGCCCCCCACGCCAATGGAACCGTCACAATCTCCTATCAGGTTGATGCAGGGTACTACATCACCGACATCAGCATCTGGACCGGAGAGGAAGCTCTGCCAGGATTGGACACTGGAAACGTTCTACCTGCGATCGAGTTCCCAGTGACAGACTCACCCGAGGCGGGAACTGTTACAGTTGAACACAACGTTGAAGTAATTAGTTGTGACTTCTACCTTGCAGCTTACGCCCGAGTGTGTGGAGATTTCCCACCCACACCAGGTCCCACTGCTGCTCCCTCGAAGATGACGGCATCACCAACAAGCTATCCTACGAAAGCTCCTGTTCCGGTTACGGACTCGCCGACCTTCTCTCCCACCGCAACACCCTCAGTGACTCCCACCACATTGGCTCCTACAATTGGTGATCGCACAGTACCTACAACACCAGCCCCCAAGCCAACCCCGGCTGCTCCGACCCCCGCTGCTCCAACCCCGGCTGCCCCTACACCCGCTGCACCCACACCAGCTGCCCCAACACCCGCAGCACCAACTCCCGCTGCCCCAACACCCGCAGCACCAACACCAGGGAGCTACGGTGACCCGCACATCATGACATGGAATGGAACTGAATACGACGTGAGTCAATGAAACCAATGGAAAATATTTTAATATTTGCTTGAGCTATGCTTCTAACTGTTTCCCTTTTGCCACTTACTTCCCTCTTCAGTTCCATGGCGCTTGTGATCTCGTTCTTTTGCACAACCCCAACTTTGCGGGTGGCCTTGGAATGGAACTTCACATCCGTACCAAGTAAGTTCTTTCTCTGTTTTTGTGTTGCACGAGCAAGCTTTTGTGCAATCACTTGGGCAAGAACTAACCTCCCTTTCTTCTCTTCAGGATTGACACTTGGTGGAGTTACATTGAAACGGCAGCTCTACGCGTTGGCGAAGACACCTTCGAGGTCATGGGTGGCGATGGCTTGAAGTACTGGTTCAATGGGAATCCAGGCAGGACCAACTTGAAGAATGGAAAGGCTCTAGGCAAGAAGCTGGCTGGTGAATACAAGATTCGCTTCCGATGGTTGAACAATCATCAGCATCAGTTCAAGGTTGACTTCGGCAATGGTGAAGCTGTCACCTTCAAGACATTCAAGGAGTTTGTTCGTGTGAACGTGGAGTCATCGACCTATGGTGACTTCCATGAGAGTTCTGGTTTGATGGGTTCGTACCCTAGCGGCATGCTCTTGGCTCGTGACAACAGTACCATCATGGAAGATGTGAATGAATTTGGCAAGGAGTGGCAGGTGCATTCGTCAGAGCCCAAGCTCTTCCACAACAAGGATGGACCTCAACACCCTGAAAGATGCTCGATGCCAACAATCTCCGAGACTGCCAGTGGCCGCCAACGACGTCTTGGTGAATCTATGATCACAAGAGAAGATGCCGAAGTAGCTTGTGCCCATGTAGACCAGGCCAACCGGAACGCCTGTGTCTTTGATGTCTTGGCCACAAACGACCTAGACATGGTCGGTACGTATTAAGAAAAGGCTACTGCGAGCCACAATTACGCCAAAGCCGCAGCAAAACGCATGGGCACATTTCCCTACATTAATTAAGAATTGCTTGCATATTATTTAGTAGAATTTTATCAACTTTATCTTGTACCTTTTTGTGCTACTTACTAGCTGGAAGAGCTACCTGGTACCAGTAACAAGGGCGGCCCTCCCAAACCTCGGTGAGGTTTGTCAGGGTGGTTATGCCTTGCCGTTCTGAGCCTGTGCATGGTGGGGAGAGGGGCGGTGGCGGCGCCTTCCACCATCGTGGACACAGAAAGAAGGCGCACCGTGGAAAATCTGCGCGAAAAAATCACGCAGAGAAGATCTGATCCAACTGGACTTTTGGAATGCCAACGAATCTAGGCTGGCGCGCTGAGTGAACTAGTCTTGAAATGGGCTCATAGCCTAGCACAAACTCACCAAGAGAGGTGGCTACACCTCCCCACAAACAAGTCATTACACACCTAGAAACAATAGTTTAATTGGCTATAGAGAAGCTTGGGTCAACCTATTCTGTCGACCGTTCCCTTACAGGGACACCCTCTGTGCCAACGGTACCTTTCCAGGGATGTAGTCGTGTAGCGGTAGGTATCGGTGATGTCGTTGATGGAGGGATTGTAGGCGCAGTAGGTACGCAGCAGGACCCGTAGTTGTGGTCGATCCTTTTCGTTGCCAGTAGACGGTAGGGGTGTTGTCATAGCAGTTGTGAATGGTGTGCTCGCGTATGTCACAAGCTTGGGCAAGCACGTCCACGTGCGCCACCGATCCAGCTAGCTCCAAGTCGCTGTTGGTGATGGGACCCGTCGGATTTTGGAAGGATGCGAGGTTGCGAGTGATCTTGTTGTTGAATGGCGACCTCCACAAAATTGGTTGGACGCCATCTGGTGTAGGAATGAAGTGTACTCCACCCATGCCAGCACCTGATGCGTCACACGCTCCCCTCGTGGAAGGATTGTGGTTCGGCACCACCTCACTTAATCGAGTGGGGCGTTCGTTGATGCTGTTGGCTAGCCACCGGAAGTCTGCCAGAAAATCGTGTATTTGTCGCGTCAGTCGGAGGCGGTGGCCTTCCTTTTCTTCGTGTCTGAAAGCTTCTTGCAAGGTGCTGAAGAGGCCACGTGCTCCTGGGATTGCGATCACCATGGACCTGAGTTCTCCCAGCACCTTGTGCCACTGCTTGATGGCAATGCGGCGTTGTCCAGGCTTCACACTGTCCAGGATCTCGATAAGGGCGTTCCTTACGGTGTATCCGTGAGGTGTCAGTTCGATAGTGAGTTGGATAGTGTTGATAATCCAACCCAACACCGCCTTTATGGTGGTCCACGTGGCATCCCCTTTCTTCAGCTTTTTGACTGAAGCAGGTTCTTGCCGGTGTGGGGTGTCGTGTGGATCCAATCCCCGAAAGACGCTGTCTAGTGCGTGTAAGAGGATCCTCTTGGTGCGGCGTCGCTTCCAGCGGTTTCCCTGAGTCAATCCGATGAAGTCATCCACGTAGGACTTGGTCCAGCAGTTGCCGATGGTGCTCGTTTCTCTTGCTGATCGGACGGGTTACACCGCGGCTTGGTGGGATGTTGGGCAGCAGAGCCTGTCTCTGAGCGTGCCGAACTGGTTGGGCGCGCGCTGGTTCTGCGTTCTGTGTCAGGGAATTAGTGGCGGTGCTGTCTCGACCTATGTGCTCGCAGTCGAGTTAGAGCCGTGTCCTGCCTGGTGTGTGTTGTCGTGATATTTGGTTTGTTGTGCGATACAGCCACTGTTTCGGTGGCTGGCACTTGAGAGTGGAGGAGACTCTCTTCCAGCCCATTGGTGCACTCTAGTGGGCAACGCGATCAACTCTTGGTTTACTTTCCCTTCAGTTTGGCATGTGGACAGCTCTCTATATTATTCGTGTCGGTTCTGTTTATTGTCCGCTGACTGAGAGTTGCCACACTCTGTAAATATCCTCAGCAATGTCAATTTTGGTACTATGTACACCGGCCTGGCGAAGTATGGGATTTGGCCTGTGCACTCTTGGTCTGATGCGTTCGCAACGCCTAGCCGTGAACTGCATGGCTTGACGGGCGGGTGCGTCCAGGGTTCGCGTTCCTGCGTTGACTCCACCAAGTAGGTGTAGTGCTATTGTCTCGTGTCGTCTCTCTTCTCGTTCGTCGGATACGACTCCCAAGAGGCTGGCCTCCAAGTCAGGACAGGTTGATCTCTTCGACGAGCTGTGTGGTATGGAGTGTCCAGTGCCCCTGTTGATCAGGGCCGATCGAACTCTTCGCGGTGTGAAGTCCCTGTGCTGCTTCGCGAGATCTTGTTCCCAGTCGGTCTTCTCTCGTAGAGTGGCTTCTTCTATTCGCTCTGTTGTCCATGCCGGTGTGGCCATGTTGACTGGCGCTCCCGTGTTGCGGTATTGGTCCAGCAACGGGCCGGCTGGATGAGGTAGCTGCGCTACGTTCTGGTGGAAGTCACTCACGGGATCGCGAGAACCTGTGACAAACTCCTCCCAGTTGGTTGATTGTTGAAATCGTTGCGTTGCCTCCTGTATCAGACGGTCGAGTTCGTCTGGGTGGAGTGGCGTGGCAGTCTCGGACTGGCTCTATCGTGTGTTCAGTGACCATCTCGCGGATGAGTGTTCTGTAGGTACCGATGGAGCTCACACGCGGGTTGTGTGTGTGACTTTCTTTGTGGTTGCTCGTGTCGTGCTAGCTCTCATTTGAGTTTCTCTGGGTTGCTCGGTTGCTCCGCGCCTGTGTTCTGTCGTCTCGTGTGACGTGACCTTTTCGTTGTTGTCTGCTTCTTGAATTGTCGTTGTGTTGAAGCGTAGTTTGCGCCTGAGACGCATGACAAAGGTGCTGGACAAGCGGAGAAGGGGCGTGGTGATTCTTCTACATGTGGCTGACGGTGTTTCATGGTTGCGCGGAGTACTCACTAGTTGTCTAGTTTGTAGCGGTACGTTTTTACAGGATAAACTGTCTACTATGTTTCAAACTAAAGGAAGCTATTCTTGGCAACACCTTTGGTGTTACAGGCTCGGCGGGACGCTCACAATGCGTTTTGGGCAGCGTCGGTGCTTTGCGTTTTCATGCAGATGCAAGGTCCTTGAGACATCCAGTGTGTGGAGATGGTATTTGGTTTTTCTGGCGTGGTTTTGCTTTGTGTGTGGCTCTCGCCGACACACTCGAGGGCAGGGTGTTGTAGCATCGTCCTCCCTGATTTGTCTAATCGAGGAGACACAGCAGATCGACCATGTTTCCGTCCGCGTAGAACCTTGCGGTGGGTTGTCTCCAGCTAGAGCGATGGCATCGCGCACTCTCCTGGTCCTGATGTTGTTAGCCAGGGGAGTGTTGCCTACGTATCTCGGGTCCTGTTGGGATTTCGAGATTGACTGCCTCATTTGTTGTTGTTGTTGTTGTTGTTCCTCGGGGCGTTGGTCGCCTCCTCTGGCCATTAGTTGTTAGCCGGTAGTGGCCTGGCTAGGTGGGTGCTTTCGGAGCAGGTTCCACCTGTTCGCCAGTTCGGAGATCGCGCAGGGCCGGATAAATATTAGATCACAGCCGTGTGCCCAGTTTCAAATTGTTGCTGATTTGCGAACTGTCTGCAGTCGCGTATTTAATAGGTTTCGGGTACCGAATTCGGCATGTGTAGTGTTGACCGTACGCACTACGTACGTTTACGATGTTAGGCATTGTACGTGGAGCTGGACATGGAGCAGCCATTCCGAACGGACTGGTGCCAACCTCGGACGCGTAAAAACGGTCATAGGCCGCGTTGGAGTTGAGGAGCCAGCGCTCTTCGTATGTTCCAAGGCAAGCAAGGCCTTGGTAACTCGTAGATTTCTTACGGGTTTGGCTGGTCTCTCCAGACAATGAGCTATGGCGGAGTAGCATGTGTGGAGCGTAGTCATATTTTTTAGCTGTGAGGCGGCTTCCGTCCAATCCTGTGGCACGTACCCATTTGGGTTCTTCATCTGTCGCGCATCGGTAGCTGGGATGCTGTTGCTGAGTGGGTCGCCGCTCATGTCGAATTGGTCCGCCCTCGTTGTGTCGTCGGCCAGCTGGCGTTGCCCTTCCGTGGACATGGCACCAGGTGGTGTGATGGTGAAGGGGAGTAT